TTAGCATGTTATGGCGAATTCATGACATCAATGTTTAGGATGGGATGGTTCTCGAATGAACACACTTAACAGACTTCTGCAACATGCATCCTGATAAATATGAAGTTCCGAACGTCGCCTATGGTAGCTTATGACCAAATTAGTCACTGGAGCATTGCATACCTCACCCTAAGAAAAAGCAAGTCCATAATTTGGCCATGAACATCTGTAACACTCAAACCGACGTTTACGCCTTTTGTATGTCAACAAACCTCTATGTTCTAGATTTCGCCAGACCCAGCAATGTAAGCGTAACTGTGTAGACAAGTCATTAATCGTGTTACTGATTTTTGCGATGCTCACATGTTAATTCCGCTCTATTGTCTCCAGACCAGAAATATCAAGCTTGTTTTATCAGATTCACCAGAATATGTATGACCTACTCCATCCAAATGTTTCAGACAAAATAACCAGCAATCCGAGAAAAATCAAATTAACCCGATAAAGCCAATACAATCAGCTTCAAGGCAAGTTAACCTAGTGCGCACCGTACAGATCGCCCAGTCGCGTCTATGACGCAGAGCAACTTAAAGGCGATCCCAATAACAAAAACCTCACGTTGTTTGATGACGAATCACCTAGTGACAACAGGTCATTTGGCTGACTTTTCTAACTCAAGTACAGTGTCTATATTCCACTGAAAACTCCAATTGTCTAGCGGGTGATATTCAGCAGAGGCTACCAACTGATGTTATAGACATAAACCTGACTTAAACAGCATATCAGCTCCCCACGGTAATAAGACATGCAGTAATATGATTACTGTGACTTTAGTTTTCGACTGTACATTATGTATGCATGTTTTCTTAAACCTATGAGTCTTGCCTGTTTAAGAAGCATTCTTTTACGGAACCAACACCGATCTCTGATACAATACAGGATACATGCTTGACTGGCATTCACAGACGGAAACAAACCGACGCGAAACTCCACTGTTAGTACACACCGGTTTGTTAGATTTACCGTGGGACTGAGTATGCCAACTGTAGTTGAAGTAGGTCAACTACATCTGGTTGTTGCAGCCATTTTTGTAGTATATGTAATCTATATTTTATACATAAAATTGGCGTGATTGAATAAATTGAATCGATCCTACATCCACTCTCCTCCTTCCTCTCTGTGAAGAAACCAAAAACTGGTGTTTGATGGCAAGCAGATTTCAGACATCATAAACATTGACATTACTTCGATTTAGAGCGGTTATGACAAACCGGACCTATGAGGAATTGCGTACAAGTCAACAATCGAATGACAGTCTGGCAAACTTTCCCACGACAACGAACAATTTTTAAATCAACTAAACTGAACTGCCTTACAAGTAAACCAAGATGTAATGGAGCGTGAGAGCACCCGGTTTCCCTCTGAAAACCTAAACTAATTAGTCAACCGCTTGTGCCTACTGTAATATCTGAACCTGGCTGAAAGCATTCTCGCCGGTTACTACAGTCCACCTACCACTTAACCGAGATGACAGACTTCAGCTCTCTTTAAAGTGATTAAACATATATAGATGGGTTTGATAGTTCCTGGAATTGATGTCCTTCTATGGAAAAGGATTTTGCATAAGGCAATCCAAATCAACACAGACAACAATGTTCAGTCCGTTGGCTCTGGTTGAAGAAAGTCTAGTAAGAGATAACGTTAAACTTAAACGCAAGCTATCAATTGAGGTAAACAGATGGAAGTTGGATTATTCCTAGCAGAAATGGATAAATGGCTTCATATCACTGATGACGATGTCAGATCAGTCTGGCATAATTCCACTGGTCTGGTGCTCGTCTCAGCTTTCTTCATACGGTTCTCCGAGTCAAGTGTATGTCAGTGGTCTTGGTTTGTCTTCCCACAGATAAAGCAGCTATTCTGATAATTGAGTTATTGGGAGTGGTCACCTCGAATGGTTAACACGTTCCATCCAAGCTTGCACCCTTGGGAACCTTTTTACCAAACGTGATGTAGCCCATTGTCTTCCGATGCAGACAGTCGCCAACCTCATCACCTCATTAATCATGCTGAATGCAGTGTGTGACTTTACCAGTTTGTGGTGGTGTATGTTTCTGCATGCGCATCAATCAAATGTTATCCCTATTATCTTGCAACAAAAGGAATGAATGTGGTTTATGTCCTGATAAATTCGAGCCTCATCAGTTATCGAAAAGAGATGCTAAATCGATTAGCTATCAAATGACTTCCCCGGCTAGAAAGCTAGCAAACTATGCTTTAAATAGCTGTGAATCCAGTAGCAAATATAAGTCTATAGAAGGATCAACACATTAGGCCATCGGTCACCTTGGTGTCGAACATAATGGTGTAACCGGTGAATGGTGGATTACTCGGTTACTTCGCTGCGTGATGTGATTTGGGACAATATGGGATTAAACATCTGATAAGCTTTTTACTAGTAGTAATTGAAATGTAAAATGTTTATCAGCCGTGCATAGCCTACCCATGGACTGAACGATGTCAGTCCGGTACTACAGATAGAAGAAAATAACTGGCATACAGGCTCATGGTTGCATAATCACTAACCGTGTCAAACACTATCAAATGTGGCAGTCAGTTAGTTAACTAGGCTTTTCCATCACCACAACGCATCATGATCAATTTCGGAGATGGTTGTTTTACTGTCACTCTTGAAGCAGCCGCTTGAGCTCTGAACAAACAGAATAAGTATATTACCCAAAATTGCGTAGAATGTAGATCACAATGCTGATTCCAACAAGTGCACGCCAACACATCCTGAAAAATTTATAGATGACTGGTAAACGAGGTAGGTTGCATGTATATTCATGCTCTCCGTCTGAAATTAATTGACAAGTATGGCATTTCTGTTTGTGTTATTAGTATAAAATACGGTGACTGGACGTGTTCTAGTTAACACAGAAAGCCGTGAAGTAAAAGCAAGGAGACTTTCTGAAGCAGAAGTAAATTATACATAAGAACATTATGCTTATAAACAATCAGTCGACTTTCAGCAAATAGTTAGTTTGATTTTGTGAAATTTACTGCAGCTTAATTGTGAGTCTATGTGCATAATTCGTGGAAAAAAAATTTTCTTTCTTCTCGAAGAAAAATAATGCAGTTACTAATTGACCTACGTAGTTTTTAAGTTTCTCATTGAACTTGTATACAATGTTGTGGTTGAAATTTCAATTGCGATTTAGCTGTGACGTCTATCTCAGACCATATAGGGTTCGCAGACCAGTGCATGTTCTTACAAAACTTGTGAGAATTGCCTGGAAACTCAGCTTACTTTATGATACTCGAGGGTACCACAAATTTTGGAAGAAAAGGTAGTGTAAGTAGTAGTGTACTCATGGCAGTTTTTAGTCATTTTATACTTACTACCGATACGATCTTACCAATGTATAAAGTTACGTTTAAACGCTTCAGATCTGTTGTGGATGTCATTGGCCACTTGCGTGGAGTCAAACAAGACATTGATTTTACCGGGTTACCTGTCGTACTCATAGTGATTATTTGAGAATATGTTCTCAATGTTTTATTGATAAGCAGCTACTCACCCCGTACTGTACTTGATAACAGTGGGTTAGAAACAGTTGGAGTAATTAGTTGAGTATGAAATTCAGATTTCAAAACGGAAACAAAGCGTGTCCTGTAAATGACAAAATATTGCGCTGACAGGTGACGCTTATGTCGTTAGTCATTTACTTAAGACACTTTCCGTCTCTACAAGCCGAGATGAGTACAGTGGTCATTTAATTAACCATTGGAACTCGGCCAGGCAAAAGAATCTACCTGCTACCCAAAACAGTTCAAACATGAACATCGCGAATTTATGGTGAAATTAACAAAGATGACATATTTTCAGATTACACTTCTTAATCTCAGTGCTTCCCGAAATAGCCTTAGGGGCTCTCTTAGGAATAAGTTCGTTCAGTAACTTATTCAACTATACAGTAGTGGGGATCCCCAAACACAACTATTTATCGAAAACCTTGTCATACGAGCCGCAACGAATCAAACTTTTTCTTTCAAGCCAATAACTAGGATAGCCAAAGCTAAAGTGCTGTTGTGACTGCAAAATACACGACCTGTGAAATCGTGTATCGCACGAAATCCTTTACACGTTATGTGAAAATATAGCACTACAGAAGCGTACACTTATTTGCATGACCGACGTGTAATCATACATACTGAGTGGCACTGCGTTGTAATTAGTCCTGGTGGCACTTTCCCCATGGTGCATGCACGCTGTTCCAATGGTCGCTTCTGATTCCTTGTCTCCTTGAAGTTGAGATCTGCCCTTTTGTTCCCGAATATACTTACCATGCTACTCACAAGGGAAACTGCATTTTATGTAGCAGTGTAAAACTGTTCAGTGGGCTCACATCCAAGGGTTTTAGCCTGAATCCACGTATTACCATGTTACTGGAAATATTCAAACAACTTTCAAGGTAATCTCAATTAGGGCATTCTTGTTATTAGATACCACGTACTAAGTCTTACTAAGTTGCAACTGACAAAATTTTGCACCTGAATGTGCGTATGGTTAAAGCCAGTTACTTTGGTCAAATAAACATTTCAGCAAGTCATTTTGAAAGCGATACTGAATCAAGTTTACTCTCTGCTGCTTTCTGTGTAACCGAAACGTCAACAGCCCAACTGTTTTAACCGGTTATAACTGTCAATCCAGAATGAAACTTAACTTAACTCATCTCGTTTTATTGTAAATAATCTGACTACTTTTGTCATACACTTATGAATAAATCTAGCATATTCAATAAATAAGTGGTCGCTTCATGTCTGAATGAAGGTACTTATGATCTCGATGGATGAATTACTCTTGTTTCGGTGAAATGTAGACATATCTATTCAGTACTCTGAAGTGGAGGGTTGAAATAGTGAACTCGTAAGTAATCAACCAAGTAAATCCGTCGTGTTACTAATGGGTAGTTTGGCAGATTTATGATTTTTAGATGAGACCCAACTGTGTAAAGCCATGGCTTCGACTGGGTTCGAACCAGCGACAGAAACACCATGCCTCAGTGCGGAAAGCGCTCTACCAGATGAGCTACGAAGCCACATTGGGAGCTCAGAAATTTCACGTTTGGACTCTGTTACCCACCCGTCCCACTGTCTCATACGAAATCCACCGAATGATTCAGGGGATCGATTGCCCGATGTGGCTTCGTAGCTTGGCTGGTAGAGCGCTTGCCGCATTGAGACGTGGTGTTTCTGTCGCTGGCTCGAATCCAGCCAAAGCCCTGACTTTTCACAGTTGGCTTTCATCTATAAATCCGTCGTATTAAACGAGTGTAGTTGGGACAGTGTTTGATATAAATACTTACGTTCATGTCAAGGTAGATGGTCCAGTCAACTCACTTCAGCCATTAACCGAACGTGTTTATCTGAAAACAGTTGAGGAAACAAAATGATTAAGGGAATCATCACCAGAATAGGTGATTTATACTTAAACATAATGGCGCCGTTCGGTAAAAATGTGAGACAGTTGATCGATAGTACGAACGCAACCATAGTGACTAAAAGCAGACGGTAGTTATGTCAAAATTGAAGTCTACAATGCAATGTGGTTCTTTACTTTGATATTAAGTTTATTGGGCGTTGCCTAATTTTAACCTGTCCACTACAGGTGGACGTACTGTAGGAACTTATGTAGCCACACATCTACTTGTAGAACAAATTGTTCGACTAGGTTATGCATCTCTGTGCAAAATTTCGTGATGCAGAGCGGCATCAAACAACTTCAACGAAGAACACATTTCTGATATACACTACGTTAGCAGTCCTCCTACTCGAGGGTGTCTCTGCTTTCATTAAAAACGAATAGTCTAGGAGTCAATGGAGGAGGCAGTTAATGCACCAGAGAAGAAGTGCACTGTCGCTTCCAAGTGTGATCTTTGATGCGTGAAATGGGATATCATGGTTACAGTCGACTATTAACAGTGAAGCAACAGCTTTAAGCTGTTTTCCACTCAGACTGAAAGCAGAAAACAACTCGGTCCAAACCTGTTGCCTTAAATATTATGCGTTGGTTGTGTTCACACTAACAGTATGGAGATACAAAGTTTGACAGAAATGTACAGGTTAGCTTATATTTCGAAAATTGTAAAAACATTGAAGATAGCTAATTTTACGTATTACCAGTAATGTACAAAACTTTATAATGTTGTTATCACACGTATGCACCGCATGGGTCTCTGACAGGCATGTAAATTGTTCTATTTTCACATATTTTGAAAAAACGTAAGTTTTCAAGACCATGAAAGATTGGCACTAAAATTTCCATTTTTCTCTTTCTATATTAATGTGGTTTGAATAATTAGCAGGCCACTGGTTTGTAGGTTCTAGGATACAACTCAAACAAATTCAAACTGATGAATGACTTTCACAGATATTCAACAGGAACGGAAAGGGATGTCTAATAGATCAATTTAATCAATGGAACAATGACAAATGTCGGAATCGTTTTACTTCATGTAATACTCATTAAACCGGCGTTTTGGCCTACAACTGCTTATTTCATCAAGACCGCAACCAGAGCGTGAGGATAAGTAAAAATAAAAATGGTCTTCAAATGTCGATCTGGCAATAAATCGTCTAAACCTTACATCGTTTCCCATTTCATCATTCTTGGTCGCAATCGAAGCAGATTTCCATGACGTGAATCGCTCCCATAGAACAGGTGAAACTCAATAAAGTTAGAACGAGCTGAGTACTCCCCAAAAGATGATGAAAATAGTGTTGTTTTTTCGACCGGATAAGTCAGATTTAGTATATTTGAAATCACTCATTGCATTGTGGTTACCAACGGATGCACGTCGGTGATTGCTAGACTTTCTAATCGTATGTTATTTGATGCACGATTAAGGAATGTATGAATGTTTGTTTTGGAGACAGCAGTTGACGATTTTGTTGATCGATTATCCCACAATGTGTGTGATCGGTGAATCTATTTGGCCCCCTAACATAGTGTCAGATATACAAAACCGAATATTGCCAAAACCTAGAACACAGCGAAACATTTAATACGCCGTTTAGTTTGTGCATTGAAAAGCATATTTAAAAACGGTGTTTTAAACGTAATTAATTTGTAATCTAACAAAACTCTATAATTCATAAACGCAATCTATTTTATTTTGAGAAACAACGTGTTGCGTAGCACAAACGGTGGACTCCTTGACTAACACCGGTAGCATGTATCACATTTCAGCTTACATTAATGAAGTGTCCCTTTCAGCGTCATATTCAATAATGGGAGTTACGCGTGGGGAAAACCACCTTTACATAAACCGCTACGTTTTTAAGCGTTAACAATCTTTGGTCATATTGAAATAAAATGGCGTCGGTTCAGTGGTATGTATTACTTTTTCGTACTTTGGCCACATTTTTACAGTTTTTTTAATCATGTTCGAGTAAATTATTGTTTGATTAAGTTGATAGGCTTAATGTCTGCGCCATCTTTGAAGGCTTTCATAAGACTGCACTGATCACCTCCACGTTCTGTATCGTCTAACCTGTTTGTAGAAGAGTCTAAAACATCTTTGATCATATCTGGGTCTAAAGAGCAATCAAGCCAGTGAGAGTAGAGGACTGTGTAGTCCACCTTTAACCTTTTGAGAAACTTACGCAGTGAGCATTGTTATTGATAGATACCAAGTGCCAATTACTCAGCGCAGTCTCATCAGAAGATCAATGTTTGGCTATTCATTTGCATAGTGGGCGATATTCGTGTTCTACAGCCATCTTCGTTCATCACAGTGGCACTGTAACCCTCCCATTTGGTGACAATTGGTTTACTCTCAACTGGTGACTCCTGCACTACAAAGTTGGTTCAATGTCTGCCTCTTATATAACGACGGGATGCAGGAGCTCTTTAATGGATTACTGACCCTTTCCAAATTGAACGCCATCCACACTTAAACGCAACCATCGCATTCTGGTAAGCCTTACAGCTAGTCCACTTAGCAAGAAGGCTGTAGACCCAAGTTTCGTTCTTATTAGAGTCCTGCAACAGCGTGTACTTTCCTCCGGAACGGAAGCTGCACTCTCATCCTCGCGTTTTTGAGATCAGTGTGTTCACCATAACGCCGGTGACCTTACGGTAGCCACGACTGAATACCTATATCCGAGCGCTCAATGGCAATCTTGTGTGAATACTTTTCAGTCCATGTGATCATTTGGAAATGAGGTAAACAGCATTGCTTTAGTCACCTCAAACGATATAACTATGAGGCCAACCTCGCAATGAAAAATGGGACAGAGACTCATGAGTGAATTATTTATTGCCTTCTCCTCAAATACAAATTTCATCGCAGTCTTACGAAGAGATCCTTGATTCATCAATTCCAGCAAACAGAATGAACTAGTAACTGTAAAACATATCGTTCCTCATGGCACAGCATAGTACACATTTCCAGTTTAAAGTAAAACATCACGCGAGTAATTGTTTCTTCTGTTTCAGGTGACCAAACTTCCTCACTGAGTTAGCGCGTACGCGGTATCAGCAACGTATTGTTGATTTCCTAGCGTTTATCCCATTGAGGAATCAGTGTGGCGCTTTCCACGGGCAATTACGTCAAAGACACTGTTTGTTACCTTTACGTTTTGCACACCGTTTGACCCATCATATATGACAGTTATCTGTGTTTCAATAACCTTGGCATCCACTGTTTTCATCTCAAATAAACGGCCTTAGCTTGGACCCCGACCACTCATCAGTTCACCGAAAGCTACAAATACGTTCTGATAGCATGATTGCTCACTTGTTCACTCCAATCGCACGATCGACTCAGCATGCAGCTTGGACAATGACCAATTTTTGGTTGAGAGAAAAAGCAGCTTTATGTGGCGCGGAATTTGTGTGCACAATAAGCATAAGCTGACGTCATACAATGGCCCAAATTTCGGGAGGATGAGTCTGATCCAACCCTCCACATCATAACTGATCGATCGATCCGTCTGAGGTTGCGGGTGCCGTGTTCTCAAGAAACCAAGGGACCGTCGAAACGCACTACGAGCCTTGACACCGAAATACAGTGAAGGCTCCACACATGAGACAGATGCACACCCACTAAAGCAGCCACGGCAGTCATTGCTATACAGGCCGATCAAAGTGGTTGATTGAATTGTGCTGCACCAAGAATTGAATGCCGGAATCTTTGTAACTGAGACCGAGAGAGGGGATTTTGATGGTAATCGCAAGTGAATCGTAGTTATTTCCCCAGCAGCCCCTTGTTAATTCGATTAACTCTGCATATTGGTACACACTTGTTCACCAGCCGTCGGAATTTTTAGGCTATGTTGATAAACTGATTTTTTTAGAGGTTATTATCGTTTCTATCAATGCGTGTTCAGTAAGTGAAAAATTGTGGATAAGCAGTGTCATACGGAATATTTAAAAACGTTTTTTAATTGACATTCGACCTTAACCTTTGTATACAGTTCTAGATAGTCACGCGGTTAATCGTGTTTGATCAGTTTAATCAGTCTACTCCAACATAATTCACATTTAACCGTTCTCCATAAAACGTAGGGACGCTGTATTTCATGTGTCCTTTGTCACACGTTTTCAGTCCAAGCTGTGGGACCCCTCGGTAAACGCTGAAACTAATATTTTGTTTGGCTTGTTGGACAGACAGTTAGAGTTCTCCTTACGTTCCTCATCAGCCTAATTGCTGCCAGTATTCTGTCTTATCGACTCAACCAATTGTGTTGGGTGTGTGTGCCTGTATCGACCCCCACCGTTCTCATCCAGGCTGACATCTTCCTCAACAGGACAGTTGTACAGAGTGTAACCATACCATCAAAACAATGTTTAGACGTCCCATTCAGGGTGATTTGGTCAACTGAATAGAGAAACTCACGTTCAGTAAATTTCTTGCGTAAGCAGAAATTCTATACACACTCGCACGCACACATGGACGTGCGCATGCACACATACACAACACAGATGATAAGGTTGGTTAATATTTCGTTTGTCTACATGCGTGCATCCGTGGTTGTCCGATTAATCTGGGTTAACGAATGTCAATCAGCAAGACGGTGTTTGGCTTTTGTTTAT